CAATGCAGTGGCAGCAGCAGTAGCTTATGTGTGTGTGTGTGTGTGAATGGGGGGGGGGGGGATGATCGTGTTGGTGTCAATGGGTGTGGCCAAAGTGAGATGCTAGGTTGTGATTTTGCATCCTACTGGACATAGTTATGACTGGGTTATTTGAAGCTGATTACTTGAGCGCATCAGTGGTTTTGACTGACATTGAATAACAGATGTCTGTGGTGTAACAGTTAGATGCTTGACAATGGTAAGGAGAAGATGTGAGTTCAGTTCCCAAATGAAGAGAATTTTTATTGAGCATCTCCATCTGCCTACTTGGACTTTGGTATCCTTCTCACCCCAGGCAGGGTCAACGCCCACCTCCTTAATGATTTCTTAACTGATAGGGGTCTAAAACTTCTACAGTTACATTTTTTCTTACATTTTAGAATCGAGATAGATAGGTTTTCTCAAGTTGCTGAGATGAATCCGAGATCGCTTTCATCTGTACAATATTTTTTCCATCATTGATGAAGTATCTACAAAACGATTTTACCTCTTTCTAAGCCTTGCAAAAGAAATACAACTGAAATTGTTTTAGATAACCACCCATTTTCGAGGAGAAAAGTGGTTGCCTTAGATGGACGAACCTCTTGGACAGTGTCGTTATAATGTAAAGCAAAAGTGAAGTGGGAAGTGGTCGTTTGCACAGGCACTTGTCTTGGACAGATGGCCATTTAAGCAGGTTTGATTGTACTTCAAAAAAGTAGTCTGGATGCGTCATCGGCTCATTTTGCACCTCACTGGGGTATGATGCTAACAACCTTGATTCAAATCTCCAATTGGAGTATTCTTGAATCTAGGTTGTATGGGGAGCTTTCAAGACTCTCCACCCCTTTTGCTCTCTTCTATCAAAAATGGGCATTAAATTCAGAGATCCAGCATTTTGAAATATTTCACATTGTTGAAAAGTTCGTTAAAACTCACAGCGTATCAATGATTATTGCACTTTTACTCTCCTGTCTGTCCTTTATAAAACAGAGAAAGAAGTTAAAGCGAGTATGCTGAAGAGGCTGGTGTCAATGACATCAGAGAGCGAGGACCCTGACCTTGGCCTACTGGAGGAACTCACTCAAGGTACTCGAAAGCGGACATACGGATCTCGCCAAAGTAGCATCCGTGAACGTAAACAAAGGTGAGATTGCTATATTGCTGGCTGGTTCTTCTTTTGTCTACTGGTCTGTCTGTTACCCTTATTGCTCACGTATATCACTACGTATATCTCTGAACAACCCCCCCCCCCTCCCCTTTCCTTCTGTTCTTCTATGTTGCCCAATCATTTTCTTCTTCTCTTCTAGATTCCAATCTGATTTGATCTTCCCTTTTTGGTGTCAGTAGTCTAGAGGTTAGGCTATCGGACTCATGGGTGTAGGTTGGGGGTTCAAGGTTTAGCTCGGCCAGACATTTTGTGCTTGAGAAAGGCACTTTACAAAAATTTTGCCCACTTTACCCAGGTGTAGATGAGTACCTGGTCATAGACGGCATGAGAGCTTGTCAGCATGTTGGAAGTGTTTTTGCGCATTTAAAATGGCAGCTTGCACTGAATGCTTTTTCTTCCCGGAAAGCTGAGAATGTTTCCAAGTGTTCTAGGGTCTGCTGAGGTTATAGCTCATAATGTGCATTGCACGTGCTCTAGAGCATGAACAGGCGCTATGCAAATGCAGTTGTTTTTTTTAAATTATTATTATTATTATTATTATTATTATTATTATTATTATTATTATTATTATTATTATTATTATTATTATTACATGTATTATTATCATTATTATTGATATTATTTTCCTTATTAGTTAAACTATTACCTTTATCATTATTATTATTATTATTATAATACAGTGGAAGTTGGATTCAACTAAGTCAGTTGGCCTGACCTTCAATTTCGTTGAATCTGAGTGTTCGTTATAGCAAACATGAGGTTTTTGTGTACATAAGTAGAGGCATCTAACAAGTAATTCATAATGCATTCAACTTTTTCAGCTTAAAGTATTTTGATTTCAAATTAGATAAATTTTCGTTTCTATGATGCCATACCAAACCAGCACTCACTTGCACACACTGCAAAAGGGCTGATTTGTTCAATTGCGTGTCTGTGTCATCTATCACCTATCGCGTACTGTTAGCCGGACAAGTTATGTTACTGTGTAGAGCCTAGCATACGGCAACATTAAATTCCACAATCCAACGCGCAATTCATTATGTAGATTTACATCAAGACTAGCTTATCATTGTAGTATTGATCAGCAGCCAGGAAAATAAAATTAACTCTGACATGTTAGTTTCTCTAGTATAGTATAGTAGTATAAGGTTTTACGGCGCTCGCAACTGCTAAGGTCATTAGTTTCTCTACTGACAGTCCATGGCAGGACTTGTTGTGCCCGTCTCTACAGACTCAAGGACTCGAAATCTCACGTCACGCATGTGCTGCTCACCCATCCGACCCCGACACACATTAAGTCTAAAACGTGTTAGCAACATGTGCAGTGGTACGAAAGAGGGACTCTGATTGGCCGCATAAGTTATAAACAATAGGCTAAGTGGATGATGGTTCACGATGCAGTACCATGAATGGTTTCTGGGAATTAATATGGTTCACTGCGGGAGAAAGATGAGCGAAGTCACATCAATGGGACTGTTCACCTTGCAAGCGAAGCCTCTTTAGTTGAATCTGAGTTTTCATTTAAACCGAGTTCATTGAAACCGAGTTCCACTGTGTCTGCTGTACGATTAATGGGAAACGGTTTTC